AATATTTTCCGCATTGAGTTAGTGAATCAAATTAGTATCCTAGCTCACTTGCTAGTGTAACGTTTTCATCCATGCTCACAGAATCTCCAACGAGTTTAATTGTTTCAAACTGTTCATTCTTCTTCTCTACAATATTGTTGTTGCATTCAACTTTATCTTATTGTGTATATTACAGGGTTTACGAACATGCGTGCTTCTTGTCAAATCTTTTCATGATAAAATTAATCGATTTGGTATCTACCATGTCAAAAACTAGATGGATTCAATCAATTTGGGGTGGCTAAACAATTTATTGTGCTTTAATCTGTGTTTTTTGCCTTCCAAATTGATCAAGTGTTACTTTTGTTTGTGCATTCAAATAGTTGAAACTGTACAAGCCGTTGGTGTTTGCTATAGCAGCATGGGAGACAATTTACCAGAGCCTGGAGAAGTCGTCCAACTATACAAAAGCTATGGCATAAAAAGGATGAGGATTTATGATACAAACAAAGCTATATTAAATGCTCTTCGAGGATCGAACATAGAAGTCGTTGTAGGTATCCCGAATAATGACCTCCAACGTGTTGTTAATCTTTCTTCCGCAGAAAGCTGGGTCCAAAGGAACATTCAAGCCTACATTCCCCACGTCAATTTTCGATACGTTACTATTGGAAATGAAGTGCGGCCGTCCGATTCTTTTGCTGGTTATGTTCTACCGGCCATGAGAAACATTTATAGTGCAATTTCAGCAGCCAATTTGCAGGATCAAATGAAGGTCTCCACAGTAATATCCACAGTCTTGCTGGGGGCTTCCTATCCTCCATCTGCAGGCTCGTTTAGGTCCGATGCTCGTGAATTTATAGAACCAATTGTCAGCTTTCTGGCTAAGAATGGCTCACCACTTCTGGCTAATTTATATCCCTACTATTCATATATCAGTAACAACAGGGATATCACCCTTGACTATGCTTTGCTATACGATTACAATTTCCCAACTGTTGTAGATGGCAATTTGGTGTACCACAACCTTCTTGATGCAACAGTCGATGCTCTTTATGCAGCTCTCGAGAAGTCGGGTGGAGCCAATTTTTCGATTGTGATATCAGAGAGCGGTTGGCCGTCGGGTGCAGGCACCAATACTGTAGTTGAGAATGAAGTTGCAGGAACATACTATAGAAATTTGATTAGGCATGTTCAGAGTGGGAGTCCAAGAAGGCCTGGAAGAGCTATCGAAACGTATTTGTTTTCTATGTTTGATGAAAATTTGAGGCCTTCTGAAACGGAGAAACATTTTGGTTTATTCACACATGATATGAAACAAAAGTACCAACTTAGTGTCAGTTAAAGGAAAAGGTCGATTAGTCGACTCGAATGTAAGTTTAATATCATATAATGATGTCTACTGTGAACTGTTTAACCAATGCTCGCGGCTGATTTCTCATCTTTTTAAGGTATGGCTTTGTTATTGTAATTTCTTCAACCATTCTTATTATATAAAATTTTTCAAAAGCACTGTTGATTAACTACCATGGATTGATTACAGGTAGAGGTGCAAGTGAGTTTTTAGATAGTTTATTTTAATAGAATCAACTTAAATCTACATAGCCATCAAAAAGTGAATTTTTTTAGTATATTAGACGTAAGGTTGGGGGATCGAACCTCTATTCTAGAAAAGGAATAAGATATTTTAATGGTTCAAATTATGCTCTAGTTGACATTCAAAAGTGAACTGAATATTTCAAAATCAATCAAATTTATTTAAGTATAAGTCAAAGACATGTTATAGATCAATGAATCTTCGCTCCATCTGTTGAACTAAAAAAAAAGTATCATATTCTAATAGTTTACAATCATTATCCTACTTAAATTAATTTGTTTTATTTAAGTTATCACAACCACGACTCTTTTTTATTATCGATCATTATAATAAATTTATGTTGTTAACATTCTTACTTGAATGTTGAGGTGACACCAATAATGATTTTATACAACGTAACACACGATAGTAGATTGACCATATAAAATTGAGGGTAGCGCTCATAATACAATTTAAGTATAATTTTATATCCTTAATATCTTATTTTATCTCGCAAACCTACTCTTTTTATGTTAAACTGTTAATCTAAATAACTTATCGTTTTCAGTTCATCTAATTAACTTATCCTATTAACATTTAATGCATGCTTTATGTAAAAATATTCAAGAATCTCATAATTGTAATTATGATATATGTCAATATGAGCATATGGTAGGAACAGACATTAATTAATGATAAAAGGTGGAAGTTGAAGGATGAAAAATATAGAGAATATATATATTTTTTCAGTGGAGGTGGAGGGTCAAACTCACAACCACTTGATTAGATATATCAATTACCGTGGAACTATGCTCGACAGAAACAAAGAGAATATTGATATTGATATAATAAATGCATACTTTTAATTTATAATAATAGACCCACACTTACACATGGAAGTGTAGGGAGAAGCAGGGCAGGAGTCAATTTGTCAACGGCAGTAATCGCTGTCAATGGGATTTCTCCATAGCCTCATGGCTTCCTCACTCTTTTGCTCCGCTTCTCTGCTACTCCTACTTGGCGCTTTCATTTCTCCAGGTTTCCAAATCATACCTAATTTCCTTTAAATCCTTCTGTTTTCTCCCTGATTCTAGAAATTGCACCAGTTTCTTCGGTTTGAAGAACGGCCGATCAATCGGCACAAGTTTTCTGGGGTTTATAGTGTTGTAATGATTCTCGTTTTATGGTGAAGCAGGATCCAAATCGGGAAATGTGGCGTTGGCGATTGAAGAAGTGGATTCCATGGCCCTTTTGCCGTTTGGATCTGCCTCTGGCATTGGCAGCTTCGTTCGACTTCCTCAATGCGGCGGCCCTCGCCCCACTGGTACTCATCTTTCCCCTTCTTATGGATGCATTTCTCCCCATTTAACTGTTGTTTTTCTTTGCAATGGAGTTTTCAAATCGGATTCAAGCTCAGTTTCCATATTTGTATTCCTTACTCCAAAGTTAAATTACAAGTTTGGTCATAAACTTGTCCCTAATACATCCTCAACTTTGAAAAATATCTGGTAGGTCTCAAAACTTTCCATGTTGTGTCTTATAAGCCCTGAAAAGTGTCTCGTTGGTTCTTGAACTTGAAAAAAAGTGCCTATTAGTCCTTGGATTTTAAATTTTGTGTTTGATAGACCCTTCCGGTATTTGAGAAGATCTTTCGATCAATAGATAGGATTTAGTATTCGAAGTAGGAGATAAGATCCATCTGCTCTTTGTTTCTAAATTTTTTTTAGACCTATTAGATCGTTTATAAAATTTAGGACCTATTAGACACAAATTAATTTAGTAAGGTATAAGATACAAAGTTCAAAGACCTATTAAGACACTTTTTATAGTTTATAGATTTAATATACTCATTTTTGAAAATTCAAAAGACTAAACTTGTAATTTCACATTAAATATAATATGGTCTAACTTTTTAAACTGGATATCCAACAAGTTTGATTATCTCAAACGGTTCATTCTTCTTCTCTACGTTATTGTTAACATCTTGGTCTGATTTGCATTTAACTTTATCTTATTGTGTATATATTACAGGATTTACGAACATGCATGCTTCTTGTCGAATGTTTTGATGATAAAATGAATCGAATTGTTACCGACCATGTCAAAAACTAGAAGGATTCAATCAATTTGGAGTGGCTGAACAATTTATGGTGCTTGAATCTGTGTTTTCTGCCTTTCAAACTGATCAAGTGTTACTTTGTTTGTGCATTCATATAGTTGAAACTGTACAAGCCATTGGTGTTTGCTACAGCACGAAGGGAGACAATTTGCCAGAACCTGGAGAAGTAGTCCGACTATACAAAAGCCTTGGCATAAAAAGAATGAGGATTTATGATACAGACCAAACTATATTAAATGCTCTTCGAGGATCGAACATAGAAGTCGTTGTAGGCATCCCGAATACTGACCTTGAACGTGTTGCTAATGTTTCTTCTGCAGCAAACTGGGTCCAAATGAACATTCAAGCCTTCGTTCCCCACGTCAAATTTCGATACATTACTGTTGGAAATGAAGTGCAGCCATCTGATTCTTTTGCTGGTTATGTTCTACCGGCCATGAGAAACATTTATAGTGCAATTTCAGCAGCCAATTTGCAGGATCAAATGAAGATCTCCACAGTAATATCCACGGCCTTGTTGGGGACTTCACATCCTCCATCTGCAGGCTCGTTCGGGTCCGATGCTCGTGAATTTATAGAACCAATTGTCAGCTTTCTGGCTAAGAAAGGTTCACCACTTCTTGCTAATTTGTATACCTACTATTCATATATTGGTCTCAGCAGGCAAATGAACCTTGACTATGCTTTGCTAAAAGAATCGCAAGGTGTTATTGCAGATGGCAATTTGGAGTACCACAACTATGTCGAATCAATGATCGATGCTCTCTATGCAGCTCTTGAGAATTCGGGTGGAGCCAATGTGTCGATTGTGATATCGGAGAGCGGTTGGCCATCGGGTGCAGGCACCAATACTATAATTGAGAGTGTGGTTGCAGAAACATACTATGTAAATTTGATTAGGTGTGTTCAGAGTGGGACTCCAAGAAGGCCTGGAAGAGCTATTGAAACGTATTTGTTTTCCATATTTGATGAAAATTTGAGGCCTTCTGAGATGGAGAAACATTTTGGTTTGTTCACACATGATATGGAACCAAAATACCAATTTAGTTTCAGTTAAGAAAAAGGTCGATTAGTGCAGTTGTAAGAAAGTTTAAATCTCCCTTTTATACATTTTGTAGAACATGTCGGGCTAGAAATTCGAACTAACGTAAATAGGTGCTCTAATCAGTTAAGCTAAGCTCAGGTTTGATCATTTTGTTATGTTGCTCTTTATTGGTGGAGAAATTCTTAAAAAGAGTTTTTTAATTAACTACTATGAGTTAGTGTAATCATTGAAAGAATGGGTTAGCGAAAAAATGAATGAGCTCAAATTATTGAGATGGGAGAAGAAAATTTCAAATCAACCAAATATTGTATTTCTACAAAATAATTAGAGGAAGTTGTACGTTTGAAAGGATTTATAATAATGTGGTGAGACACGATTTATACGATGTCGTAATGATTTATATGATGGACCTCGACACTCTAGTAGGCCCACTGAATGGATCCCTTGGTCAAGTACTTACACGATGGGGACGTCACCCGCTGCACGACGACTCATTACCTAGGCAACGTGCGACCCACTACCTTTAATGGATAAATAATTAAAGACATATGTACTCTCTTTAAGCTTGAAGATTCAGTTCTTCATCCCCGTATTTTTTATACTAAAAAGGAATAATAAAAAAAGAAGAAATATATATAGAGACAAGTCAAGTGTACACACGTTCTTTCCAATTTAAGTTATACAAATTTAATTTATAACTCGAATTTCCCCTTTTTAAGTCTTAATTAAAAGCCCAAAAGTATTTCTCCACTTACTACATTGATATGATTTTGTTGTGAAGATTTCATACTAATATACAGGTAAGTACCCAAATTGAAAAATCAAAAATATGATCAAATTTTGTAAAATTTTCAAAGAAAAGTTCAAATGAGGAATTTAATCACGATTAATTGTTTGCATATAAAATAGTCATTTTATAGAACCATAATGAGCTTGCCTATCCCGAGATAATCATCAAGTAGGTAACATGCGACTTGCGAGTGGCATAGAAAATAGGGAAAAATTCTTATCTGAAAAAGAATGTGCATAAATTTTTTGTAAGAGAAAAATTCATACATAATATCTTGTGTTTTTCTTGTGGTAAATTTGGACATAAATCATGTTATTTGCCCAAATTGAATRTTATGAAAAATGTAACTAAAAAATAATGGATTCCAAAAATTAATTGTACAAACCTACATGGACCCAAGAAAGTATGAGCTACTTTCTTAGAGAGTGCTTTTCTCAATGGGCTAGACCTGATCATTTGAGCTGAAGTCAGGGCTATAGAGCCCAAAGGGTTGGACCCGGTCATTCGCAAGGCCCAATTGATCGAGGATATCAATGAGGCTGTCCGCGAGGCAGAAGGCCAGACCTCGACTGCGAAGACGAATTTTCACCCAATTTCAAGCAAGATAGTTTTTAAGGCCCACGAGGTAATTCCCACTCGAACTGTAACGCTTACCAGTAAAAACCCTAATTCTATGCAGGGGCAAGAACAATGCAAGTGACCAAGAAGGAAACGTCGTACAAGAGATTGAGTGGCTGAAAGACCACCTGAGGTAGGCCCAAGACTGAATGAGGAATCAGACGGACAAGTACCGCAGGGAAGTAGAACATGAGGTGGGAGAGAAGATGTACCTTAAGGTACGTCCTTATAGATAGTGTATCCTGGCTAAACGAAGGAATGAAAAGCTGAGTCCCAAATATTTTGGGCCTTGTGAAATAATGCAGCCAATTGGGAAAGTGGCCTATCGGCTAAATTTGCCGCGGAAGCTAAGACTCACCCAATATTTTTCATGTATCTCAGTTGAAGAAAGCTATTGGTGAAGCTTTAGCCTCACTGCAAATACCACCTCAACTCTCTGAAGATTGGGAATGGCTGGTGGAACCGGAGTCTGTATTTGCATTCCAAACAAACACTACCACCGGAGAGAGGGAGGCACTGATCAGTTAGAAGGGATTGTCGGAGGAGGAAGTGACTTGGGAATCAGTTCGAGAAATCAGCAAGCAATTTTCGGCATTTCACCTTGAGGACAAGGTGACAGTTGATGGGGGGAGAGAGGTGTTAGACCCCGACTTTAAAAACATATATTAGGAAGGGCAAAGAGGTAATTGAGCAGATGTAGGCCAAAATGGCCAAGAGAGAGACAATATAGCTAGGTGCGGGAGGCATGTAGTCCTTTTAAGGGGGAATGAATGTCGTTAGGGGATCATCCTTGATTTATGTGTTCTGGCTACTGTGTTAGCATTTTGGGAGAGATTCCCCACCCTCTCGAATTGGTGGGTAGCTTTTGTCTTAGGGCTTCTTTTGTATTGCTTACGGGCTCTGCTTTTGCATTAATCAAGTTTAGTAAAAAGATACCTCACAGTTTTCTACCATTCTTTGTTCTCTTCCTCTCTAGTGAACATCTGTATTAAAAAGCTCCAAAAATCTTGATCTTTAATTGACAGTACGACATTACATTCAATTGGTGTATATGGGAAGTTTTTATGTCATAAACTTTTCTCGTTTAAGTACATTGTAATGTTAGGTCGACAATGGGAGAGTTCAAGCCCACCGTCTAACAAAAAATTGTTTTCTGTGAACTTTAGGACGTTATCTGATTTTTGAAATGAACTTGTTATTTCGGAGAGAAAAGTTTGATGTTATAAATACATTAATTTTTGTTTTCTGTTTGTGCTATAGCTTGCCATAGCTGTCTCGTGTCTTTGTACAAGCAATGGAGAGGAATTTCCAGGATATGATGCTCTCTTGAAATTATGAGAGCTAAGCTTCCTACATCTGTGTGGGGACATGCGATTTTGCATGCAGCATCACTTGCACGTATTAGGCCAACAACCAATCATAAATACTCTCCAATACAATTAGCTTATGGCTAAGAGTCGAATATTTCCCATTTGCGATTTTTTGGATGTGCAGTATACTTTTCCATTGCTCCACCACAACGTATTAAGATGGGCCCGCAAAGACGGTTGGGAATATATGTTGGTTTTGATTCCCCATCAATCATTAAATATCTTGAACCTCTGACATGTGATGTATTTACTGCACGATTTGTTGATTGTCATTTTAATGAGACAAACTTTCCAACATTAGGGGGAGGAATTAAGAAGTTAGAAAAATAAATTACATGGAATGCATATTTATTGTCTTATTTAGATCCCTGTACAGATCAAAGTGAACTTGAAGTTCAGAAGATAATCCATTGTCAAATATAACAAATCAATTACCAGATGCATTTATAGATGCTAAGAAAGTGACTAAGTCATATATTCCAGCTGCAAATGCTCCATAAAAAATTGATATCCCAATACAACAAGTTGTCATTTATAAGTCCGCGACACGCCAAAAGTGTGGGAGACCAATGGGTTCTAAAGATAAAAATCCTCGAAAAAGAAAAGTTGTCAATAATCAAAATGATTCGATTGAGAATGTGGATGTTCCAGAAGAAAACCTGAATATGACTACTCATGAAAATACCAAGGAATGTCAAGTACCTGAAGATAGTAATGAGATTTCAATAAATTACGTCATGACAGGGAAAAGATGGAACCAAACTAATATGGTTATTGACAACATTTTTGCTTGTAATGTAGCTCTAGACATTATATCCAAAAGTGAAGATTCTGAACCAAAATCTATCAAAGAATGTCAACAAAGAAATGATTGGCTTAAGTGGAAAGAAGCAATCTAGGCAGAATTAAACTCACTTTCAAAACTTGAAATCTTTGGACCAGTAGTCCGAACACCAGAAGATGTTAAACATGTGGGACACAAACAGGTATTTGTAAGAAAAATAAATTAAAACAACGAGGTCACAAGATATAAGGCAAGACTGGTTGCCCAAGGGTTTTCACAAAGACCTGGTATTGATTATAAGAATACATATTCTCCAGTGGTGAATGCGATTACACTAAGATATTTAATTGATCTGACTGTATATGAAAGTTTTGACATGCATCTTATGGATGTAGTTACTGCATATTTATATGGATCTCTTGATAATGATATATATATGAAAATCCTTGAAGGATTTAAGGTACCTGAAACATATAATCAAAGTTTTCGAGAACTTTACTCAATAAAGTTACAGAGATCATTATATGGATTAAAACAATTAAGGCGAATGTGGTACAATCACCTGAGTGGATATTTGTTGAAGGAAGGATACCAAAATAATTCAATTTGTCCGTGTGTTTTTATAACGAAATCACAGTCAAGATTTGCTATTATAACTGTGTATGTTGATGATTTGAATATAATTGGAACTCTTGAAGAGCTTTCAAAGGCAATAGAGTATCTTAAGAAAAAATTTGAAATGAAGGATCTCGGAAAAACAAAATTTTGCCTTGGCTTGAAAATTGAACATTTAGCAGATGAGATATTTGTGCATCAATCAACTTATATAAAAAGTTTTAAAAAGATTTTATATGGACAAAGCACATCCATTGAACTAACCAATGGAAGTTTGTTCACTTGATGTGAACAAAGATATATTTCGACCTCGAGAAGATAATGAGAAATTCTTGGTCCTGAAGAACCATATCTTAGTGCAATTGGTGCACTTATGTATCTTGCTAATAATACAAGACTAGATATAACATTTTCAGTTAATTTATTAGCGAGATATAGTTCTTCTCAAACAAAAAGACATTGGAACGAAGTCAAGCATATATTTCGTTATTTGAGGAATGACTGATATGGACTTGTTTTATTCAAACAAATCAAAATTTGATCTAGTAATTGGTTATACAGATGCCAGATATTTATATGATCTACACAAAGCTAGATCTCAAACAGGTTATTTGTTCACATGTGGAAGAACTGTTGTATCATGACAATTAGTGAAACAGATCATAACAGCTACCTCCTCAAATCATGCTGAAATTCTTGCAATTCATGAGGCTAGTCGAGAATGTGTATGGCTAAGATCAATGACTCAACACATTCGTGGAACATGTGGCTTGTCTCCTAATAATCTTCCAACGATGTTATACTAAGATAACATAGCATGTATAGCCCAAATCAAAAGAGGATATATTGAAGAGGATAGAACAAAACATATTTCACCTAAACTCTTCTACACTCATGATCTTGAAGAAAATGACAACATTAATAT